ATGTCATAGTAAACATTTCCCAAGGCACCAGAGATTTCTCAGGCCTCCTCACTGACACTATATTCATGGAATCTGGATCAGTTCCCTGTTGGCCTCTCAGCCATCAGTCTGAGGTTCAAGAGCTCCCCCTTGTCCAGTCACCTGTCCTTGTTGGGTTTCACCAGCAATGTCTTGACCACTTTGCTCATCATTCCTCCCTCTCTGTCACTGGGATCCAGGAGTTCAGTTCAGTGTTTACCTTGGATATCTGTCTCTGCTTCCATCAGTCACTGGATGAAGGTTCTAGGATGGCATATAAGGTAGTCATCATTCTTATCATCAGGGAAGAGTTAGTAACGTAGTCTCACTGCTATTGCTTAATTTGCCAGATGGTGTTATCCTTGTAGATCAACACAACACCATACAGGTTCCACACATTTTGTGTATTTCCCATCTCTAAGCTTTTTTCCTTCATATTACTTTACTTTCTCTTTAAAGACTATTATTTTTAAACTATTATTTTTTCCTATGACTGTCTATAACCATTTGCTTTTCTTTCTTAAGCCTATAAGCATTTTAAACACTGTAACCTGTTTAGGTTTTTCACTGTGTGTCTATAGTCTTTCCTGAACGAATGAGTCAAACCTTAAACTGCTAAGCAGCAGCTAGTCCTGCTGCCACAGCTCTGATGGCTGGCTCTGCCTCCTTCTTGAGTCCATGAGAGTCAGCCTTAAGTCTATGAACCTGGTTGAGAGTTGTATTCAACCATCCCAGCTCTAGGCAGTTGATTTTCGTATGGTGGCAAGTTGAGTTAGCTCAACTATTGCTACTAAACTAACTTGATTCTCAAGTGCTTAGGTACAACAGACCTCTTAGAAACTGTCTCAAAAAAACAAAACAAACAAACGAAACACACACACACACACACACACACACACACACACACATACACACACACAAAACAGCAGACCTCTTAAAGTAACCACATTTTTTTCAGCTTTCTTAGGTCCTCTGTGGAAATTCTGGACCCAAGTTGGGCACCAATTATACCAGGCTTTCTTGAACCACCAGCCCCCAAATCATGACATGGAGACTTATCACAGTTATGAATGCTTGGCATCATATTATGCTTGTCCCACTATCTCTTATAACCTGTTTCCTCTTCATCTGCATTTTGCCTTGGGACTTTTTAATGTTTGTTTCATTCTGTTCCGACTTACTGCTTCTTCCATGGCTGGCTGGCTGGCAACTGCCTGGCTGGCTGGACCCGTGCCTCCTTTTTTACCCCCTAGTTGTCTCTCAAGCCTATATTCTCCCTCCTACTAATTCTCTCTGCCTGCCTGTCCCATTCATTCCTTTAATGTCTAGATATTCACTGTTGAGCTTTTTATTAGGAAGGCAAAGTTAGACAAATGTAACAACACGCCTTTACATAGTTAAACAAATGCAACATATATTACATAGTTAACTTCTGAAACTCAAACAAATGTAACATATCTTTACTTAGCTAAACAAAATTCTATTCTAGAACATTTGCTTTTTGCCATAAGGGTAAAGTTTTAGAGTGCAGTTATGAATAATACTGTCTAAGTAAAGAAGTGACAAGTGGGTCTTAAAACCTATGACCTCATTACCCTTGGTTGTTTAGCTAGGTTTCCAGTACCAGACCACATGATTTCTCTCCAGCTGAGCAGGCCATATGTCCAACAAGCAGCTTCTGGTTACCACAGAAGTGTGAGTGTCATTGCTGCATCTAGGGTTACCTGGCTGAGCTGATCATTGCGGTTAGTTCATTGGCATTACAACTGCAGAGGAATACTGTGCTTTATGCCCTTGTATGCTTGCATAGTTCTTACTTTTGTCATGAAACTTAGTGCCCAGAAAACAAGTTTCCAAGTCAGACCCAGCTCAGAGCTTCCATGTCCTGTATGTGAAGAGGCGGGCAACTTCAGCACAAGAGATGTATCCTCAATACCTGAGAGGCGATAGAGGTGTAGAAAGTTAGCGTGTTACCATGATAATTTCCTGTACTCTGTGTTCAATATGCTGATACATGACTTCTGAGGCTTAATAGAAAATATTAAATGGTCTATGGGTCTTGGTGGTGAACACTGTCAATTCAAGTGGGATACTTCGTTTAAACAGTGCACAAACATGTGAGTGCCCTCAGTTGCACGCATGCACACATGCATACACATACGTACACACACATGCACAGAGTACATATATATGTACTACACATGGTTTAATGAAAATAAAATATGATTTATCATGTCTTTTTATTCAGATGTCATTAGTGTCGTTTTCCTCCACTCTCCTCTTTCTGTATGGACTTCCTTCCCCTCCACAATTGACCCCCACACCCCTTTTCCCATTTCATTCTTTACATAATTTATGTCCTGCTGTTCCCTTTTTTAGTGATACTTCCACCACGATATCCCTTTTCCTTTTCTGACCTGTGATTACTCTAGGTTATATAATCTCATTAAGACATGGAGCTATAGTATTTCTATGACCCATTTATCAGGTGAAGGACATTCCAGTTCTTTCTAATTCCTAGATATTGTGAACACATTATCAATGAAGCATCGCTCAGTATCTATTGTGTAGGGTGTTGACTTCTCTCTGGGAATATGCCAAGGAGTGATATATTTGTGTTATATGAGAGATTTACCTGTAGCTTTTCATGAGTTTTCCACATAGTCATTCAGATTGACTGAACCAGGTTTCAGTCACACCAATATTAATTGTGATTTCCTCTTTCTTCCTTTCTCACCAGTACATGATAGTAGTTTTGTTGATCTTAGCAATCCTGAGCAGTACATAATATATTACAATACTCTATTAATACAGCTTGATTGCAATATATATATGCAATACATATATATATATATGCATATATGTTGATATGCTTGTCAGTGTATTAGAATAGAGAGCCTAAACACTAAACCAAACATCAATAATTTGATTACTGGAAAAATGACAATGTTTATAATAAATTGTATTGGAAAGCAATATACACATACAGAACATGTGTGAAATTGCTATGTCCATTTGCCATAAAATGAAAATATCTAGATTTGAAAAGTCTTCTTCCATCATGAACACATTAGTACTGAGTACTTGTAGTTGGTCTGTCAACACTCGGTGATGAACGGATGAGGTACTCGAGGAACCCCTACCTCTTGTTGCTGGAGTATTGGCTGTTGGGTTCTGAGTGAGGGAGAATAATTGTCTTCTGCTCTGTATTCACTACTGAGCTCTTCAGGTTCCAACAGATGGCTTCACACTCTTTATTTCACAAATGATCCTCATTAAACTCCATGGGTCTCAAAGCAAAAAGCGTAGTCATGAATGTGAGAAAGATATCTTTCCCGAAGACAAAAGGAGACTGGGGTAGTCAGGCGATAGAAGCATGTGGAGGTGAGAAGATGCAAGAGACATTATATACTTGTATGAAACTGTCGACAGAGAACATATTTAATAATTTGTTTTAAAATGATTAAAGATATAAATGTAGCAACTGAAACTGATAATTTATGGGAAATGGAGAATTCTTTGGAACTATTAAAGGCAATGTAGGAAATAAATGAGACAATAATCAAATGGGATCACAAGTAATTAAAATGGTACACACAATGAAAGAAACAACAGAGTGAAGATAAAAATACAAACTTGGTGACAATCTAAAATTACACATGTATGAATATATATGTATATATATGTACATATATATGATTTATAATGAACAAAAAACTCTTTAACATAAGATATTAAAATAAACTGATTTTGAAATAAGCAGTGTACTTACATGCTCACCATAACTAAACCTTAGGAAAGTATAAATTTAAACCTCTAAAAGTAATCATGTCACACCAGTATTAGTAAATATCAAAATTTCACATAATTGTCAGTTTGATGTAAGAGAATTAAAGAAGAGAGAATATTATGAACAATAATAAAGAAGTTATACACATACACACATTAATACTGTAGAAAATTATGATATAATGATATAACTATTGTATATATAATAAAGAAAGTGAAACCAATATGAAGACAGTACTTTTCCAAGGTTTCTCCTAACTATGGCAACAAAATTCACAAGACCAGGAGAGTGAAGCAAGCAGTCTGTTTAATCATCTTACAAATGAAGTCTGGTAAATACATAAATTTTCTTTCATTTCATCCAATACAAATAGAACCTAATGTTAAGTATAATAAACAAGTCACACTATACAGTCTCATATGTAAATATGAAAGCATTTTATATTAGTTAATTTATGTTTTTACAAGAACTATTAATATAGTATCATCATCAAATCTGTGTAGGACGGGAAGGAGAAAGTGTGACCATTGTACACTTTTTCCTCTAAACTAAGATTTCTCACCTGTTTGCTGCATAACATTAGTAGAAAAACTGTGACAAGAACAAACTTAAATACTGATAAATGAATGCTTGTGTTTTCTAAATAATGTGCTAAACTCCCATTCTAAATTTCACATCATACTGGAATTCTAGTCAATTATTTTTTGTCAGGATATTAAGGTGAAATTTAGCTCTAAATATTTTTCTTATTTTAACAATTCACTCTTTTTGTCATTTTAACTTTAAGTCTATGTAAAAATTCAAATATTATGATTTTTCATGATCCTTAATATCATATAGAATTTTTAAAATTAGAAATATGATGAATTCTTTTAAAAATATTTTAAGAATTTATGTGTATGAATATTTTATTTACTTGAATGTATGTTTGTGCATCAAATGTACGTTGCCTGTGGAGGCCAGAGAAAGATTCCCTCATACTGATATGACAAGAGCTTGCAAACCACGTTGTATATGCTGGGAATCATATACACGTCCTCTGGAAGGCCTGCCATTGTTCTCATCCACTGAGCCATCTCTCTGTCTCCTATTATGAAAGCTCTATGTAAACAAGGAAAAATTAGTAACAAAAATAGTAATAGTAATTAAATGATTGCATTATAACACCTATTTATATCTGATTGTTTTACAGATGCCCCAAAGTTTGTTTCAAATCAGACAACGTATTACTCTTGGGAAGGAAATCCAATCAACATAAGCTGTGATGTGAAATCTAACCCACCGGCGTCAATCCACTGGAGAAGAGAAAAACTGGTCTTACCAGCCAGAAATACTACTCATTTAAAGACGTACAGTGTAGGAAGAAAGATGATACTAGAGGTAAGCTTTTGTGAACATATATTAATAATCATATTTTAGCAATCATTGATTGTGTCAAAATAGATTTAATTGATTTTCTATAGAAACTGTGAAATAATTATATAAATATATTTATTTTTAAAAATTATTTTTGCATCAGTATAGTATCCCATTTGCTGTTTGTGTTCACATATCTTGAAATATTTTTCACAAATTTACTTTTTGGAAATAAAAAAAATGCTGACAAGAATGCATGAGCAAGTGAAATAATACTTAGGATTTTAAAAGGCAAATGTTTAACTTCAACGTTGATGATCCCACTGATTGTTTATAACTATTATCCTTTGACTGGCATTTACACATGTCAGTTGGTTAATAATATGCTAATTCTAGAATAAGTTTCTAAATAAACCTCTTTGGAAGAGATATAAAAGGTTATGCATATATTAGAAATATTTAATACTAGTACAAATATTTTGTACTAGAAATTTGATCATATACCTTGGATTATTTCATTTTATATTTTGTGCAGTTTTTAAATCTTGCTCTTGTTTAGTTTAGTATTTTTACAATGATATTACTAAATTTTAGAAAGAACAACTTGACATAGGAAAGATTCATTTGGGTTCAGAGTTCCAAATTGTTGAGTTATTAGTGGTTTGGCCCTAAACACTTGGATGGACCATTACAATGGCAGGGCCATGTGGTGGACAATTTGCTTTACATTGTATGAGAAGCAGAAAGCAAGAGAATATTGGTGCTGAATGTTAGTTTTTCTTTTTTCCATGTTTATTTTGTTGTGATTTACAGCGAATAGAATAGTGCTGTCCGCATCCAGTTTGGGTCCTTTCAGTCCTGTCAAGAACTGAATCCATAGATTACTCTAAAACCACAGACGTTGTCAATCAAAACCAAATGCCATAGTGGATTTCTTGTAAAAACTATTTTTGGATAAGAAGTCCATATTTCTTTCTAAGAAAAGAGGCTTCAGGTTGGCTTGGTTAATTCTTCCTTCCTTAATGTTGTCCTTGTTTTCTTTCTTGCTTGTTTTTTTCCTTGACTCCTGTATATTTCCATTTCTTTCAAACTGTGCTATGTTAAGTGATTTTTGTATCTGTTAAGTATAGTATCATAAAGGTATTATTGGTGATAGACATGTAAATCCTGTGTTTCTTGGCCACTTTGTTCCTGGAATGGGAGAGTCTATGAATTCAACTTTTTATTTCCTGTTAAGTTCTCCATTCAGCATTGAACCAATTTTCTAGCACATAAATTGAGCAGTTGAAAATGGCTCCAAAGTAAGTGTTTTTTTTATGAAGTATTAATTTAAAAATAAAACTGTACTGTAGCCATAGTACTTGCTGTGGCTGTCCTGCATCCATGTTATATGATTCTATAAACACCAGCTTCCTTATAGAATGTACAGAAATTTTTCACACAGGGCTATGGAATTAAAAAAAAGATTTTGCTAATATATGTGTAATAGAATTAAGCTAGCCTAGTTTATTAAATCCACATGTAAGATCATTTCAGGGAATTTACAAAAGAGTTAAATTTGACCATCAAGCTGTGAAGTCTATGAACTTTTCTTAGTTAGACATCTTCCTAGAAAATGAATGACACAGCTTTATATACCCTCTTTGTTCACAATAATCATCTTCAATAGACCTCAAAATTGTTCTCTTAGTTAATAGTCTATTACCGTCAAATCATTGCTTGTCTCCTTAAAGATATGGTTGAAATTAATGGGCAATTCATGTTGTTAGCACAGTCTCTCTTTAAATAGTTGCTGGAATTGAAAATTATTTTTATTACAAACATCAAATATCTTGGAAGGATTAACACTTAAGATTTTCTGCACAGTGGAATTACAGAGCTGACCCTACCTTTCACCAGTGGAGTCCCTGAATGTGAACTTAATTTCTGATTTTAATGTATAAAACTGAGGTCATGTCTTTTTCACCTAAAAAATGGAACCAAGATGATTGCTACAGATTTAAAAATCCTATTTGTGGCATTTTTATATGTCACTGTTTTATTGCAAAAAACTATTCATGAAAAAATTAAAACCTCCAGGTGTGGAGCTGAATATTAAAATGCATGACTAGGCATCGTGATTTATTCATATTCTCAATACTTCAGAGGCAGAATCAGGAGAATCACTGGGAGATCAAGACCAGCCTGAGCTAGTAGTCAATTCCAGATCAGTATGGGATACACAATGAGAAAATTCCAAAAACAAACAAGCAAACAAACAAAACATGAAAACAATGTAGAACCTACTTCCAGTAGAAACTTTTTGTCTTAAAATTTATAGTTGCTTTGACTTGGCAATGACTACAAGATACATTTCCTTAGTACTTTCCCTATGCTTTGCTCATCAGAAGACAAATAGTTTTGCAAATGAATAGATGTGTCAAAATGAAGACATTGATCCAACTAATGAATTGATGCATAAAGCATGAATCACTTCAACTTTGAATGTTTAGTTTTGTAGGTTTTGTCTTTAAAATGTTATCATTACACAGATTGAGTTGGTGGAATTTATGTACTTAGGAATATACATATATGCTAGAAATACATACATACATATGTATATATATGTATATATATGTACATATATATGCATATATATATAAATGTGAATGTAAAAGCAATGGTAAAGGCATCATGATTTAAAAGGGAACAAGGTGGATGCATGGGTGCGTAAGGAGAGAGGAAAGGTAATGTTAAAAGGATGCAATGAAATTAAAATCTTGAAAAATAAAAGAATTTAAACATATATAAAAATAAAAGACATGTCAGCATTATTTAATATTGCTTGCTGGATAAAGAAATGAGTTCTATGAGGAGTCATATGTAAAATAACTGAACAAATGTGCGAGTAGTACATGTTTCAGCCTTTCAAAATATCCTTGATGTTTCTTCACTTTCATTTTTGTTATTGCCATTATTTCAGATTGCCCCTACATCGGACAATGACTTTGGACGATATAACTGCACGGCTACTAATCGTATAGGCACAAGGTTTCAGGAGTATATTCTTGAGTTAGCAGGTGAGTACAGAAAAGTAATATATGGCACTCATAAAGTAATTTTATACTCAAATGGAGTTTTAAGTTAATAAAACTGTATCAATTTATTTTACAAGAAATCTAAAATAATATTTATAAAATTTTAAGCGATAATATAGGACATTCTTTAAAGTCATGACCCCAGGGTTACAAAATAAAAGAAAACCATTTGACATAGTGAGTAGTGAACACTTACATTCTATTTAATATTTAAAGCTTAATTTAAAATTTAATTCCTTCTCGTGTATATATAAGATTCTTAAAGTAGGAAACATGTATTTGAAATAAAATTGCATATGAAATAATGTAAAATCACCTTTTAATATATATGTATATGTATAAAAGCATTAATAAATAAGTCAGTTTTATTTAAAATCTAGCATATGTCATCCAACATGTGAATTGCTTCTACAGGAGGTGTGTGGAATTCAGTGAGATAAACAATGCAATAGAGATAATCTTAAATTATTTTTAATTTGTCATCATAGGAAATACTTCAGAGTTGAGCAACCCTATCATATATCCTATTACTTAACTGCTCAAAATCAAAACCTCTAGTAATGAGAAAATTATACTTAATCCCATGAGAGGCAATCCAAAGAGCACAGAGAAATCGTCATGATTTTTTTCCCCAGCTTGACGACAATCTAACCAAATAAGCATGATTTTTAGGCACATGTTTCTGGTTGAGTAAGCATAACCCAAAGTTCTTATTAAGTCAAAATACTCTGAAGGCTTAAAAAATACTGGCACATTCTGTGGCCATTAATGTCCTATAAAATTAAATATTTTTAAATAAAAATAAACTTTGGAAGAAGTTGAGACATTAACAAATACACATAATAATTATATGGGACAAAATGATTATCGTATTTGGTAATATTACTGGCAAAACCAACAACTGTTTGTGGATCAAAAATTAGTAACAAATGGCAGTTTGCAAATTGTCACTGATTGACGAATTGAAGGCAAATATTTTATTCAGAAATGTGACTATTTAGAAAAAAGCACTCAAATACCTTGTAAGTACCCAAACATTGTCCTACACATGATGATGCAGTATTTAGTAGTATTTTGATTTCATATTATTGAGATAAGACACATGATACCAACCACATACATTCATGAATTGAACAGTTCATGCTTTGTAATGCGTTTTGCTATTTTCTCTGCTGTGAAGAATAGCTTGATAAATTGTATTATGACAGATATTTTCAGCTTAATTAAATCATGAGGTTACAATCGAATTTATATCATAATTCAGGAAAATTCATAAACTAATTTCATCCATTTGTCAATCAGAATGGATATTCAAGGACTGTGAAACAATATACATTTATACATATGTGTATACCCATAAATATTATTTAAATTTCAGTCTACATAATGGTTTAGCAATGAGCATGAGCACGTGCCAATTGGTTCAAAGGGTTTTTCAAAGGAGGTCTCACCTGCCAGCATCATTTTTGTTTGCTTTAACTGTGAACATAATGAATCAAATTTTTTCATAATAGTGTTTATTTATTTTTGTCTTTTCTGTATGCAGTGGAAAAACAAACATAATTATATGTGACAATACAATAATTTAATTATTATGTAATATATGTAGTATTGCAATCAGGATAATAAATATTATATTCCTTTAAAATTCTCAGTTCTTTCTTTTGGATTCTCTTGGACAATTTGAGGTAGCAGTATTAAGAAAGTTTAATCAAATACATTCAGCAGCTAAGCGATGTGCACCTCCAATCAGGGCTGAAGCTTTCCTTCCTATGTGTCACAGAAGACATTCACAAGACTACCTAAGTGGACTGACACAAGACAATCTGAGTTCGTGCTTTCAAAGCACCAAGAGCAGAGCAAGTACTCAAAGGAAGGAGATAGCTATTATTACAGTCTAACATAGTTCATACAGGGAGACTTTCTTTTCAGTGGATAATAGTGTGGCAATGCATTTTTACCTGAGATACATTTATTTTATATCACAAGTATGTGTATGGTGGATAGAAAGGGACTTTATTTCAGATATTTAATTTTTATAAGTAATGTTTTTCATTTTTTCTTCCTAGTACTTTTTCCTATTGCTATGATGTGAAATCTCTGATACTGACAGTGCTCAAATGGTTTTCTCAACCAACTTCTAAAGTTCAAGTTGTCATATTTGACTCATCTCTTTAACCTACAGAGACCCAGTCAAATTCAATATTTCATTTTTCTTTCCAAGACTGATTTAATTCACAAATATCATAAAGCTGCCACTTACAAGTTCATCTATGTCACAGATAAAACTCTAGAAGTCACTTTGGAGAACAGAGACCTGATTAGAGGTTAATCTATGTCAATTGAACAGAATTTTGTAGGCAGTATCATCATCCATTCAGTGCTTTTTGGGATCAGATGGCCTTGTAGCATAAACGTGGCAAAGTTAGTTCAATTGAAAGACACACTTTTATTGTCTGATTATAAATCTAAGTGTCTCTCAATGAAATACCTTGGAAAGATGTTCATATTGATATTTATTTAGCCAATTCATGGAGTAAAAGAGATTTTCACTAATTTGTTTTGTTCTTTTTATTGAAATCATATTTTCAGATAATCTGTGTCATGTTTTCTCACCCCAATTCATCCTAGATCCTGCCCACTTCCCTACCTACCCAATTTTATGTTCTTTTTTCTCTCTCACATTCTTAAACACAAACCAAGAAGCACACTCATCCATACCCATAAACAAAAAAATGGAAACCAAATATCAATCAAAAGGTAACTAATACAAAAAACATCCAATCCAAACAAAAGTAGACATATGTACTACAAAATACCATTGAGTTCATTTTGAGTTGGCCAACTATCCTTAGTCATAGATTTGACCACAAAGTACAGTTAATATACCCAGTAAAGCGCCACTGAAGAAAACTAATTTTTTCTTTGCCAGTATATGTAAATTTCAGATGGCTTCTTAATTAGGAATGGAAGCATTTTCTACTTCCACCTCTCAGTGCACGAATACATCTGGCTTGTACCTGTGTAAGCCTCATGCATGTTGTTGCTCCCTCTGGGAGTTCGTACAAACTTCAGCCCTGTTGTGTCTGGAAGACACTGTTTCTTTGGAGTCATCCATCACTTCTTGCTTTTATATTTTATGACTCCTGCATAAAGCAATGAACCTTGAGGGGAGGATTCGATAAAGATATTCCCTTAACATATATGTTTATTTTCTATTTTAAAAAGTACCTTAGAACTGACAGTATCTGATGAGGGCTCCTTCCTCACAAACATTTCCCCCAATAAACCTTCATGTGAAGTAAAGAGCAATTGTGGTATGAACAGCTCCTAATCACATACTCCAGACCTCTACCCATATTTCAAAATGTCCTACCGGTTAATATCCTAGCACTGACAGTTAAGTTTAAGCATTAAAGTATTAAGAGTATTCATATTAGATCATTTGTTAAAAGAAAAGACCAATATGTGCATGCCTTATTAGATATAATTAAAAAAACAAAAGAATAGATGAAATCCATCTCAGTATAGACCTTAAATTGACAACAATTAGTGTCTCTTACTGACATTGTGTGTCATCATGTTTCAATTCTTTCTGTCACAACCCACTTACCACTTAAGACTTTAGTCAGACAGATAAGGGAATTGCATCTGTTATCATAAAATAACGAATTGACTATAAATACTTGTGTAAAAAGCAATCAAGTGAAAGCAAATACAGTAATCATCACCTAGCTTGAAGCTACCAAAACAGCTCCAATGAGACCCAGGGTTCAATTTTACAACTATTAACAGGAGATGAGGAAACGTTGCTTGTAAGCTACCACACTATGGATGTTACAGTCATACCTCAGACTGAAATTAGACCATGGATTGAGGATTCCAGTGGCTCCCCTCCTTCATGTCTGTAGATGCTTTTTGCCTAGGCAAACCTCCTAAAACATGAAAATGAGATTCACCACTTCTGACAACCAAAGCTAAAATGCCAAAAGAAATCTGAGCAATGAAGACTTGGACTTTTCAATCCATGTGGTAAATTAGAGAAACTTAAAATAGGAAACAAGATTTAAGTATTGAAAGACAGGATCTAAGGTTAGGTTAAGTGGGGTTTTTAAACACCATTTTTTTCCCCAGTGTCATGACATTACGGTACCTGTTGTTAGAATCTGAAAGAGGATAACATGACTTACAGCTTTTGTCATCAACTCCCATGGTTCTTAACTATCTAGCTCACAAAAGCTAAGACAGTGGCAGAATTTTAGGAATAACATAATCAAATTTCAAGTCAGGAAGCAAGAGATTATACTGCATCAGGAAAATGTTGGACCATATTGCTTTAGTGATTGCAATTTTGCAATACAAACTAATGTCAGATAACACAATATGTCCATCTCTGGTATATATACCTCAGCATAAGAAAGGTCATGTCGATCTTCTATCAAGCACACAGTTAACATTGCAGCAGATGGAAGGACTTTCATCCACAGAAGAATAATAGAATGTTTTCATTACCTGTTTTATTCAACATAGCATAAGAAACAGTGACCAAAAGAATTGTGTAGGAGAGTAGTAACTCACTTCTAACTTGTCTTTGCTTGCATATAAACCCTAACTACTCTTACACAAGCTAATGGACAAATGGTCTAAAAATATAAATAATGCAATACATATTAGTAAATAATATTACTATGTACTAGCACTATCAAAATCCTTCAAACATGATAAAGGAAACAATTCCCAAATAGCTAAAGAAAAAGAAACAAGCATATGTAGTAAATAATGAACCAGGGAAAGAGAATATCTACACACAAAAAAATCATACAATATAATTGATTGTAGAATAATAAACTAATGTATATCCTTTATTCTGGAGGTGGAAGAACTCTCATTATTAAAAGATCCAATCCATCTGAAGTTATACAGAAATTAATTATAATCTCAATCAACATGCCAATAAAAAGGCTTCATAAAAATTTCCTAAAACACCTCAGAAACAACGGAAGACTCCTGAGAGAAAAAGCAGCCTTGAAGAAAATAAAAAATATTATTCAAAAGCATACACTCATCAAACTCTCCTTCACAGCCCAAGAACGCTCACCAGTTGTCTTCCATTTCTTCACACCAGCAGTGCGTGTGGCATGCTTTGTGTTGTGAAATCTGAATTTAAGACTTTTTTTTCTGGGTGGCCACTATCAATTTGTTTCACCTCACCACTTCCTGTCTAACTCTTACAGCACAATGAGTCCGAGTTCTAGCCATCCACATTGTCCAGGTTGTTTCCTTTGTAGATGTACCCTCTAGTCCCCACGGGGTGAAGATTATAGAGCTGTCTCAGACCACAGCCAAGATCTTGTTCAACAAACCCGACTCCCATGGAGGTGTGCCTATTCATCACTATCAAGTGGATGTCAAAGAAGTGGCATCGGAGACCTGGAAAATAGTACGCTCCCATGGAGTTCAAAGTGAGTTATTATTTCAATATATATTGAGTCATCAACTCTGATATTTAATATACTGTTATGATTTACTCCTTATTGTTCATCCTTTTTTTCCTCTTCTTGCCATGGGTTGGGCAATCATAGCCAGTTATTTTTCCTAAGAATAACTTTACTATAGTGCTGACATTTTTTTCTTTTGTTAATTCTTTTTTTCAGAGAGTGAGGTTTTGTTATAAAGGTCTAGGTATCAAACACACCGTTTTGTGTTGCCCAAGTTCTAATTGTTCTTAATAATAAAAACCCAGAGTCAGATATAGGGTTAAATCCTGAAAGATCACAGAGAGAAAGGAGCAAGCCACATCTTATGTTTCTAACTTCCCAGCTGGAAAGAAAGCAAGCTCCTCTCTCTACCCAGCCATATTGGTTCTGTTTCCTGCTCCCAGATGTGGGGATTAAAGGTGTGTGCCATCACTGCCTGGCTTCTATGGTTAACTAGCAGGTAGTTCACCTTCTCGTCTTCAGGCAAGCTTTCTTTTTTTTTAGCACAAATAAGATATCACCACAGTTTTCTATATGTCTCTCCAGCTACTTTCCATTGTACGATATTCTGTTATTTAAGCCAGCTACTTTAATAAGAACAGAATAGCTAAATGGAGTCACTAAAATCATATTCTAGGAGAAGATTTAATTTAATCCCTTCATGAAATGACAGTTGCTGACATGCTTGCATGGAAGGTAAATATTCTGAAATGTATCGTTATTTTTATTCATTCATATTTTCCATAAATAGGTATGAATGATATATTACAAAACAGCTAAGTGACAGAGGTACTTACAAAACCATTTACATGAGTTCAAAAGTCTACTAAGTTTGTTTATAACTTGTGCCTTGAAAATACACAAGTGAAACATGCAAGTTTTTATTCCAAGTTGTGCCATTAAAGTAGCTGAACTGTCTATTTCTGAAAAGTTGAAATGAGACACATTATTCCTTTTAGTAATGGAGAATTCTGTTGTGTATTGCAAAGGTGACTCGAAGCCAGGTTTTTGTCACATATGCCTTTAATCCCAGCACTCAGGAGGTAGAAGCAGGCAGATCTCTGTGAGTTTGAGGCCAGCCTGGTCTACAGAGTGAGTTCCAAGACAGCTTCCAAAACAATTCAGAGAAACACTGTCCCAAAAAACCAACAAAACAAACAAGCAGACAAAAACAAAACAAGAAAAGGTGACTCAATTTCTCATTATTTTACACGTTATAGTCATTATGGTAGGAAAGAATAAGTCATTACAAGATTGTGAGTGTGCAGTTTAGAATAATCTGTAATAAAGTAAGAGTGAAGATACCATTGCTGTCTTCTACCCTTGTCAGATCTCCAACTCTACCTTCACACTTTTGACGTGTGCGAGTATAATGATGGAACTGTTCTGAGAAGACAAAAGGGAACAGATCACAGTGCAGAATATTTTCAGTTCTGTAATAATAACAATATGGTACTTTACCGTAAAGATACCAAAAATTCAATGAATCAACTATTGATAATTTATTAATTTATTTTTTGTATGCTGTTACAAGTACATGAGTTACTATTGCTTCTTTAAATTTGGTGAGGTATTAGATTAATCAGGAACTTCATGGTATTTCTCCTATTGGGACTCACTTCAAATTCTGTAAATGTGGTTTCACTTTGCAGGTTTCTTTGAAAGTCACACTTATTTCCCTTATTCATTCATTTATTTATTTATTGATTGATTTATGAGTATATAGTTGATATACTCCTTATTTTTCTTATTTGAAAATTATTATGTACTATATACTGTTAATATTTGTATCTAATTACTGATTTCACTATTTATAAATAAGTAGCTCTTGTTTGATTTTACTGTTGTACGACTGGGAAACATCACCATGTAATTACTTTTGTGCTTTATTCTAGTCTTATATAAGCCACTAAGTAGCTCTTACCAGCTGAGTCAGCTTCCCAGGCTTAGCCTACAAGGGAGATAGAAACATTGGATTATTCTCCTTTATTTATCTATATTATGATCATGCAAGTCATTGAGGTAACAATCAACTAATTTTCAAAATATATTGACTTGTAAGCAAATTGCATATTTAATGTAACATATAAACTGCAAGTAAATAGATGAAAATAGAAAAGGAAGATTTTAAAAATTTTGAAATAATGAACTTCTGGAAACTTCTAGTATCACTTCACAGTTTGGATAATTCTCATTGTTCTTTAATACCTGTTTTTGTAGTTTCCTTATCAGAAAGGGATAGGATGCAAGTTAGTTGTGTGTGGCATTAATATATAAACATCTGAGTGATCTATTCACATTGATTTGGTATGATAGATGCAGATAATAAGGTGCTATGAAACCATTTCCCAAAACCATTTACTAGTCTCCCGTGATGCTGTTTATTAGTTTTATGACATCCATTCCTTAAGTCACCATTTACTTCCCTATGCAAAATTTGTTCTCTAGAAAATAGAAGTCAGTTTTAGAGTATGTATCTCCTATGTTTTGCTACATCACAATGATAGAGTTGCTATATGTAAGAAGATAAACTTGGTCAAACTTTAAAGATTTAGGAATAGCTAATGTTATTTTGTGTGGTTAATAAATGTCTGATTTAACAAACAATATCATCAGAATCCTAAAATATGGGAAATATTTGGTACAATGAAAAATGTTTGAACATAGTTCTTCACTTTTATCCTAAATATGTGACAGAATTTGGTGCCTCAGACTTTAGAAATGAAAATATTTGTAATTATAATTTTCAACTATCATTGACTAGCAATCTAGTATGTATAATTGTATGGAACAAAACACAATTATACCTACTGAAATACTGCATGCATTTTAAGAAATACAGAAGGAAAATGGAATGACAATGTTGGTGTATGAAATGATACCATTTATATTAGCAAAACTTGTATGATTTCAAATCCATATATAGCATGAGTCAGTGCTTAACAATACTATACTGCCATCTAAATAATTAGTGAGCTGGTAAATATTATGTGTGGGGTGGAATGAAGAAAGAAATTGTGGGATGATGAATAGTATTTGATATTGTGATGTTGATTTAATGAGAGACTATTTATCTAAATATTTACTAGTCACATAAAATAAAATAAAACAAATACATTTTAGCATACAATTTATTTTTGCTTCCTTTTAATCTGACACATCATACCTTACAAGTTTGGGAGTCATATTATAATATTTTTATAGGTGTATTCATTGCATATGAACCAACTTCTACTTCCATTATTTTAATCTCTTATAAATAATTTAATTACACATTAAATTATTAATTTATTTTAAGTATCTCTGTATTTTACTTTATGTTTTACTTATACATTTGTATATATTTCCTCAGGAGAAAGTTGACAAAAGCTAACTTAATAGGATATTCCAGTATGCTAACACACATCTGACATTGCATTCCACAAGGTCTTAAATGTATCCCTACATTTATCTTTCTATGTATCTGTCTGTCTGTCTGTCTGTCCGTCCACCTACCTACCTATCTAACTACCTACCTACCTACCTACCTATCTATCTATCTATCTATCTATCTATCTCGCATGTCTCTTCCCTCTGCTTTCCCCCTGCTTTTAAACCTCAAACTAATAATAGTATATCATACTGACTAGTATTATAAATATACTCTCTGTTGTTCTCACAGATGTGTTGTAGAAAAGTATCTCAATGTGCATTTCCCATACAGTATAGGCACATATTATAAATGGTGTGTAATATTAAACACAAGCTAGAATGGATCCATAATCACTAATGCAGTTTTTTAAATATTGTAGTATACCACTTCCTAGCTGTATACCGGGATTACCTAAATTGTTCTTTTGAGGTAACTGAGAGAGCCTTTACATTTCAGTAGATATGACTATTCCATAGGAAGATCTACAGACGGCCTGAAACATTTCAGTAGCAAAAACTTTTGTGTCATCTTTCCAAGTTATGTTTCAACAGGTTTATCCTGCAGCGATGCTTTTAGTTCAGTTGTTTATAGTTTCTCATACCAGCCTGAATTTCCTTCTTTCCAAGGATGTGATTTCACTTTTATATAAACAATTCGAAATAATCAGTGTTTAGAGTTATTTCTAAACCTATACAAATTTACAACTCATATTGGATGTTAGTGCTTTAAAAATTCATTCCAGGAACATTTTCTGTGATTATACAATTTCCAACATAAACGTGCTTGAAGGAAAAGCTTGACTTTTAAAATATCTATATTTCATATGGTAAAGGGGAAATTGACTGTAAAGTTCTGTCTGTGTTCAATCCAAGTATAATAAACTCTTGTGAATTGCAAGGGAAGGAGTGAAATGTAATCCACACTAATTCCCTAGTTTCAGGGAAGGTGATTTTGTTCTAATTTGCATGTTGCAGAGGGATTTCTGACTGGTGAAATCTAAAACAAGAGTATTTGGTACTGTTTTCACTCTATGTATTTTTTAAAAGGTTAATTTATGGTGATTCTGTGTGTCTGTGTGTGATTGAGTTTGTGTATGCATATGTATGTGTTTATTTTAATAAAATGAGTTTAAACCATATTGGTAAAGTATTCACATACTAATCTAGAAGGAAAAGAGTTGAAATAGTTTTGTTAACAATTTCTCAACTGTTAGAAACTAACTTATTCATATAAGGGGAAGACACAAACCTATTCTAATTTTGTACATAAAATGAGATTGCCTGTCTATAGACTGATTTCTTATATGAGATTTCCTGTCAAAAAACATTCTACGTTGAAGTAAAATTCATTATTTTCCCTGTATTTACCTGATTTTATTAAGCAGAACACTTTTATGACATGATGATAATAATGTTGGTATGCCATCTGTAATTGCTGAGAAAATATGAATATGTCATGAACACTGTGTGGAAATTTAACTTGCAAGATGTTGAGCAAGTTGATAGGTCTCTTAGTCTGAAGTGTAGAGCTCATCACAAAACTCAAGTGTAGACTCTATCGACACTAAAATTCT